GTGGTCACAACTAACACAATATTACATGACAAGTGGCACAATACCACAAAAAGCATCATGTAATATTATCACATCTAACTCAGCATCACCTTTTCCCAATGCCCTCCTTCCCATTGTTCAACATGTCTCTGCTTGGAGAACTGATCCAGCACTTTCTGCTTGTCTTCTCCCAGTAACTGAACATGAAGTTTGTACGTACTGCCACAGTCTCTTCTGGCTGTTGTCCTGGAAAGTTGTGCCAAAAATTATTAATTACTTAATTAATTGTTTCAGCTATAAGTTCAGCAATGAGTTTGCAGGAGTTTGCAAGAAAAATTTTATTGTTGTTAATTCGCAGCCATATTGCAGGAAATTTGCTGCAAGAAGGAATTAATTGCAAGTTGCATTTTTTCAAGTACTTATAAATTTAAATATTGACCTACCATTCAGAAATGTAGATGTCGGGTTTAATTTGGTCCAAGACAGCCCCAGTACACCCTTCCTTTAACAGATCAATGAGCTGGTGCTTTACACACCAGCCATATGATGTGGCCCAGCAAGTTTCATAGCCTGAAACAATAATAGTACATGTATCTTTTTATCTCAACTAACACAATATAACAATATCAGGTCGAACACACTAGCAGTAGTTTCACAAATCACAAAATGCCAAGGCCAAATTTGTGCAACATTTGAAAGAAAATAAATACATGATAATAATCTGTGTGTCAAAAGCTGTCAGGTGTGTCACTTTAAATCAATCTTGTTATAAAAGTGGATAACCTAGAGAGTTTGCCGATCAAAGCTTTTTGGCCCAACAATCTGATTAGAACTTGAATCACTACTCTATTTAGAATTTTCAGTTTGCCAAAAATTATTAACTTAGAAAAAAAATTGTTTGAATTTTGTACAAGAACATATCATTTCTACACAAAATCTGACCTCTGGCCTAAGGTTTATTTATTCACCCTCTGAACAGTCTTTCTGTGATGTGATGGCTATACCAACATTACTTCTTATCAGTTAATCAAGTTTTATCTAATATCAATTTTGATTTACATGTACAATATTTTGCAAATAACTATAATTGATCACACTTTCAAATAAAATCAATTTAAAATTAAACACAATCAAATGCTAATCAATTCCATTGTTTGATTTTGACACAAAATCTGCCTCTTTAAAGCAAAATATCCTTTCCAAGATAATCAAATTCATGTCCTGCTATACCCTCTTCCTTCATTCCATCACAAGGATAACTCCCTGGGGCACATGGATTAGAGGTCTCTACTTTAAATTGATTGCCACCATTTTCTTCTATGGTCCAATGAAGTTTGCCATCTAAACATAATTAACCATTGAAATAACAGAGAGATGTTGACAAATTATAGATTTTTCTGACTAAAGTATGTTTTGTTAAAGAACAATTATTAACAAAACATACTTTAGACAGGTTAAAAGACAAGTATGTCTTCTGCACAAGATGGGTGCATGAAACACACATGCCTTGCTATCATAATATAAATGATACAATGATATGCCATTGTCTCTGAAACACTGTTTGTACAGAAATATAACGTACATTTTTCAATTTATCTCAGCAGATTTGATTCTCATTTTTCTGATGAAATTAAAAATATCAGAGATAATAATAACAGAAATACTTCGATACAAATGTGGGAATTGCTTCCATGAACTTTGATGGCACAGAATCAGAGACAATGAGACATTGTACACAACATAATCAGGGTTAGAATTCACAGCAGCCCATAGATCACTTTATTACTTGGCAGTGGGCTGTTTAACAAATAAAGGCTTCCTAATAATTTGGAAATGATGCTATACTGGTAGCTCTAACAATTAAATTCCAGTTGTATGCAAAATCTAGTGGAAACTCTTCCATACAAACTGTAACAGAAACATGACCACTTGAAAATAAGCTGATCCTTGGGCTAGTGCGAGAAATGACCATTTGTTAAGTCTAACCCTGACATGATGTCAACCCCACACTCACCCTCCTCGTGCAAACAAGTAAATGGATCACAAAATGTCGACTCTGTCTCCACTGTGAACCTGTCCCCACCATTCTCCTCCACCTCCCAGCACAGTAGACCATCGTTAAGGAGACAAGTGGATTAAATATTTAGTGCACACAACACAGTATAAGGAAAGAAGGAGATAACTAGTATATAATGTGACCTAGGTTTAACATATACAAGAAACTGGGATTTTGATTTGACATTTTCAATGCATCGGGTCACTGGACGATGTCACATTTTGTTATAATTGATGAAAATGGATTTTCCATCAAGACAATTATTTTCCCATCAAAAAGATTGAAGAATTACCGTAACTCAAGCACAGATATTACCAGTACTTGTGGATCATTGTTTAGTGATAAACTGTACATCACTTTAAATCCCCATTACTCCCCTGCATCATAACTTCCCCCTGTTAATCATTATGTTTACTTTAAATATGTTTACTTTAGTAAATACCAAAACCTGGAAGAAACACATTTTTCAAACTGTCATTCAAAAACAGATGAGGGGGAGTAATGATACAGGCCGTGATGGATAATAAAATCATAATTTTGTTAGGAGGAGTAGCAATGCCAGGAAGAAATGGTATTGGGGTGTAATGATGTGGGGATGTAAAGCGATGGCCTCATTCATAATAGAGACATTGTGCTCTATAGAAGGTACTGTACTAGCACCAGTGCTAGCAGATGTGCTTGTTGTTGTGTCCACTTAATGGGCCATATGCCTGGTGACTGTCTTTTCTTTTATGTCTGTACTACTCTTTTTTTTCACTTTTTATAGTACAGTAATTAAGTACACTTATAGTTTCCTACATACAGAGTACAGAGGTACAACGTACAGGTGCACACACGCACAGGTACATGTACCCATGTACCGGTGTGGCGTGATAGACCCGTGCCGTGACGAAACCGTTCTGCACATGCGCATTGAGGGTAGATTGAAAGAAGGGACTTCCGGTATGACGATATCGTCGTAGGTATTTTTGACACTATTGACCTTTCAATTCGTAATTCAGTGGTTTTTGCCATGAGAGAGTATGTATTTGATAATCTTACAATAAACTCCACGGAGGAATGTTGGAAAAGTTTTATATAAACACCAAAGGAAGCGTGTGACACAGCCCTTATTACTGAGATTGTGATCGTGACTGAACTGTTTTGCTCTGTGATGAAGTTGTAGTAAGACTCGTAGTATAAATGTTTTCACACTACAATCTTCTTTCAGTTTAGAGTTCAGTAATTGTTGTCGAGAGAAAGTGTGTGTTTGACAATAATATAACTTCCTCTATGGGGAAATGTTGGAAATACATATGTAGCTACTGTACGTGCTGTAAGTCAACTTTGTCAGTGTCGTGAATGTGACTGCGTTTGCATAAAGTCGTCATAAGACTCGTATGAATGCTCATTATATAATGTTAGATATGTTCACAGGTGTGTTACACGTCCAAAGTGAGATGGTCGATGCATTCCCAACAGTCCACCTTCAAGTCAGTTTTTTTATATCATAAAGCTTTAACACATTTATTTTATTTCATTGTTCAGATTGATTGGCAGAAGCAAATAGCTTAAAATTATAGTGTGTGTTTGTGTGTATTATGATGATTACTTGTTGTATTTGTTCTATATTTTCACATCACCAAATAAACATTTTGTATTTTGTATCATATACTGTGTTCTTTTTTAATTTTGCTAATCTTAAACATTAACACATTTTAAAATTTCTAGAAAACCACATAGGAATGCCCTTAAGACACTATAAAGCTAGCTTTTTTTACTAAACCTTTTCATGTGTTAGCTTTACGGTGTATCGCTGATGTGTGCTATATATGAAATCAAGATCGATTTGGCAAAACCTAAATCTAGAACCTAGGGTACATGGAAATAGTGCCATTAAAACTTGAAAAAATATTTAAAAATAAGAAATATTACAATTACATTGAAGGATGTTTTATCAACGTCTGCTGGGAACAAAAGTCTAAAACATTTTCTGAAATGTAAATTTATCCTTAACATGTTGTTTCAAAAAGGTTAAAACTGTACAAAATTGTGCGCAAAATTAAGAAAAATATGAAAACATTTGAATGATAGCTGAAAAGAATTTTTGTTTTTGCGGATTTTGGCCACATTTTGTCATGTTGTAATATGTGTCAAAAAGATGTTTGGTCTATCTTTGGTTTGACCTTTGCCCTTGCTTTGATATCTGTTTAGAAGTTATTATTATTATTATTATTTTTTTTTTTTTTGAAAATATGTGAACATTTATCATTCGTGTTGTGATAAAGCAATGAGAAATATAACAATAAATTGAGTTTGATTTTTATACATTTTTTTTTTTTTTGCTGAGGATAATACTGGTTCTTTATATGTAAAATATGAAGACAACGAAGTTCATTTAATATTGCAATGATTACAAAACACATGACCAGTAACACGAAATGACTAGTTTTATATTGGTGGACATATACCATACATGATCTCAAAAATTCATCCAAGTCTCAATTTGGCACTAGAATTGAATGGAAAAAACATTAAATTACATTTAATTGCGATTTTTGTTTGTATCAATAAATAGGGCCTACTTCTTAACTTTAAATCTCTATTTTTCAAATATATTCCTGAAGTTGGCATGGAAGTCAACTGAAAATTCTTTAAGGGATTTCTTAAATATGAACAATCTGTGTACTCACAAGGCTACCCAGGTATGTTGGTTAAAAGTTCTCTCGTCTTAATTGTTTTAGGATCTGGTTGCTGTCTACGGTTACCGCAATAAACTACTTCGGCAAGACAGACCAAAATATTATTAACATAAAGT